GGTGTTAGTCTCCCATTATGTTACTTTATATTCCCCAGATGAATGCAATCTTTCTGTGTCTATCCCTCTCTTTCTGGCTCATTTCGCTTAACATGATACTTTCCATGTAGTACCACTTGTATGTAAATTTCATGACTTCATCTTTTCTAACTGCTACATAGTACTCCATTGTGTAGATGTACCAAAGTTTCTTTTACCAGTCATCTGTTCTCGGGCACTCAGGTGTTTTCCAGATTCTAGCTATTGTAAAGAATGCTGCAATGACCAATGTACCAAGTTTCTTTAACCAGGTATCTCTTCTAGGGCACTTAGGTTGTTTCCAGATTCTGACTATTGTGAACAGTGCTGCAATGAACATATAGGTACAGATGTCATTTATACTGTGCTTTTTTGCATCCTTGGGATATAATTCCAAGAGTGGTATTGCAGGGTCATATGGAAGCTCAATTTCTAGTTTTTGAAGGACTGTCCATATTGTTTTCCAGAAAGACTGGACCAGTCAGCATTCCCACCAACAATGAAAGAACGTCCCTTTTTCCCCACAGCCAGGCCAGCACTGGTTGCTTTTAAGTCCTATACTCCTATAGCCTCCCAAAGCTGAACCAAGAAGATCTGGAATACCTGAACAGACCTATCACCACCAAGGAAATTGAAACAATAATAAAAAGTCTCCCCAAGCACGAAAGTCCTGACCCAGATGGATTCACGAGGCAATTCTTCCAAATCTTTAAAGAGGACTAACTCCCAATCCTCTTTAAACTTTTCCAGGAAATTGAAGCATCAGAAACACTTTTGAACAGATTCTATGAAGCAAATATCACCCTGATACCAAAAGCAGACAGAGATACCACAAAGTAAGAGAATTACAGGCCAATATGCCTAATGAACACAGATGCAAAGATCGTCAACAAAATATTAGCAAATAGAATCCAACGACTCATCAAAAGATCATACACCATGACCAAGTAGGAGTCATCCCAGATATGCAAGGATGGTTTAACATTAGCAAGTCAATCAACATAATTCATCATATTAATAAAAGAAATAATAAAAACCATATGATCATTTCAATAGACTCAGAGAAAAACTAAAAGCCTTCCCTCTAAAAATAGGCACAAGACAAGGTTGCCCGCTTTCACCACTCCTACTCAGTATAGTACTGTAAGTCCTGGCCATAGCAGTTAGGCAAGAAAAAGGTATCTAGGGCATACAGATAGTAAAGGAATAGTCAAACAATCACTATTTGCAGACGATATGATACTATACTTAGAAAACCCTAAAGACTACAGAAAAGCTCCTAGAAACAATAGGTCAGTATAGTAAAGTGGCAGGCTACAAAATAATGCCCAAAAATCCATGGCTTTCTTATATACAAATAATGAAAGAGAAGAAAGAGACATTAAAAAACAATCTCGTTCACAATAGTACCTCAGAAAATCAAGTACCTCGGAATCAGCTTAACCAAAGAGGTGAAGGACCTATGCAAGGAAAATTACAAAACACTACTTCAAGAAATAAAAGAGGACACTAGGAAATGGAGACACATCCCCTGTTCATGGATAGGGAGGATTAACATTATCAAAATGGCAATACTGCCCAAAGCACTATACAAATTTAATGCGGACCCTATCATGATACTCTTGATATTTTTCAAAGAAATAGATAAAACACTCGTGAAAATTATATGGAACAATAAACACCCATGAATAGCTAAAGCAATCCTTGAGAAAAAGAAGATGGTGACATCACCCTCCTCAACTTCAAACTGTACTACAAAGCAGTAGTAATTAAGACAACATGGTACTGGTCTAGAAACAGACCTGCAGACCAATGGAACAGAGCTGAATATTCTATCACAGACCCCCAAATATATGACCACTTAATCTTTGACAAAGGAGCAAGAAATGTGAAGTGGAACAAGGAAAGCCTCTTCAACAAGTGGTGCTGGGAAAACTGGATAGCTACCTGCAGAAAAATGAGCTGACCTCTGTCTAATGCCAGGCACAAAAGTCAGATCAAAGTGGACTAAAGACCTCAATATCAGACATGAATCCATAAGGTAAATAGAGGAAAATGTAGGCAGAACTCTCCATGACATTGAAGCTAAAAACATCCTTAAGGATGAAACAACACTGGCCATGCAAGTGGAAGCAAACATAAACCAATGGGACTATATCAAATGAAGAAGCTTCTGCACTTCAAAAGAAACAGTGACCAAAATACAGAAAGAGCCCACAGAATGGAAAAGAATATTTACCCAATACACATCTGATAAGAGATTAACATTCAGGATATACAAGACACTAATAGAATTGTACAAGAAAAAAAAACCTCCAACCCTCAAAAAATGGAGAGAAGAAATGAACAGAAGCTTCCTCAAAAAAGAAATACAAATGGCCAAAAGGCACATAAAAAATGCTCCACATCGCTAGTCACCAAGAAGATGCAAATCAAAACAATAATGAGATATAATCTCACACGACAGAGACTGGCACACATTCAAAAGAACAAAAGCAACCAGTATAGATTTTTCTTAAAGTTACTTAGAAAGCACAGAATACAGGGTAGAAGAGGAAAACTACCTTTAAAATCCAGACATGTTACGTGGTGCATATGCAAGAGGTGCACACTAAATGTGAGAGGGGAAACTAGCCTACAAAGTTCTCAGGCCATCTTTTGCCTTGAGCTGGTCACTGCCCCTCAGTGCAGATGCTGACTCACAAACGTCTTTTATGAGCAACTATACTCAGAGGACTTAAGAATGCTTTAAAACACTGGGATGCAAATGCCTGGTTTAAGATATTTTCCTCAAGTTGTCTTTGATATTTTGTATGAGAAACTTGTTACACACCAAAAATAAGGTTAACAATAATAATAAAGTCATCCAAACCAAGTTATTGAACTCCTAGGTGCTACGTATATTTGAGTTGAATCTCTGTCATGTCCCTATGTGATAAGCTCATCAGTATTCATTTAGTGGTTAATGTCTGTTGCTTTCATATTTTCCACCTAAGGACTTACTGAAAGCAATCACACCATATACAACCTCCAGATATTTAGCATAGATTCAAGCCACCGTAGGTATTACATGTACTTTTGGAAGACATAAATGAAGTCAATGAGGTAAATACTGAAGAAGATCCACTAAAATAAGTAGGACTCTACCAGTTGCCCAGGACAGAAGAAAGGCACCCTTGTCTGAAATAGTTAAGTCTATTAGTGTAGAAAAATTCATTCTTGGTACAATGGATTCAATCTCTAATGTCATTTCTTTCTTGTTTTAACCCAACAACTTGCCCACACAAGTCTCATAATGACCCTTTACCTTTATTCACTGATGTAACGATGAATTCACTTGCTCTGGTCTTGAAATTGCGTGCTCTATGATTTGCATTATTTTGGGCTTTCTTTATATGACAGGTCTTAAGATTCATCTTTCTGGATGTTTGTTCAGAATCCTTCTTGTCACAGTCAGTTCCCGTGCCATTGTTTCTGGCTTCCTATTTGATTTTGGTGAGAAATTGTTCTCCAGCAACCCCCTCCCCCCCCACACACACACAATGCTTTTGCTAGAATAACTAAAGAAAGGTTGTTTCTGTGTTCACAGCATTTCTCATCCCAAATGAGGTGAGAATTCTTCCACACTATACATTCCATCTTTCTCTGTAGGCACCAACGGAGTGTCCTGCCATTTAATTAAAATCTGACATTGGTACAAACCCCACATAGTAAAGGCTGCATTCCACAAGATTGCCCTCATTCCAGACATTAATCATAGTAGCACTGTAGCACTGTCATCCCATTGTTCATCAATTTGCTTGAGCGGATACCAGTAACGTCTCCATTGTGAGACTTGTTACTGTTTTTGGCATATTGAGTATGTCATGGGAAGCTTACCAGGCTTTACCGTGCAGGCGGGATACTCTGTTGGGTTCTCCAAGAGGGACAGAGGAATCAAACCTGGGTTGGCCACGTGCAAGGTAAACCCCCTGCCCACTGTGCTATGGCTCCAGTCCATTAATCATAGTAATGTCATTTACTCAAACAATTCCCTGTTCAGGCTTCATAACCCACTAGAATGACTCAAAGAGCTCAGTAAAACAGTTTACTCTTACTTGTTTATTATAGAGGGATACATCTCAGGAAAAACTTAATAGAAAAGATCCATGGGATGGTGGTGGTGGTGGTGGTGGTGGTGGTGAGAAAGAATATAAAGCAGTGTTCAGCCTGTCTCCATGCTTGGAAAGGAGGTCCTCACTTGGACAGTTCCCCATTGTCCAAGCTCTTCCTTATGTTAATCAAAAACTCCTGGAACACTATCAGGATTTAAATTAAAGATTTTTATAATTGATCAGATCATTTTTATGTGACTCAGTCTCCAAGTCATTCAATCCCCAAAACTTCTCTTCACAGTGATTGAATGATGGAGTCAAATGTTAAAATTTTCTAATCCTATTATAATCTCTCTGAAGATCCACGTCATGATGCAATTAAGGGCTCCCGTTACTAGTGATCTATTTAGCATAAAAAAACACATTTTCGTTAGTTCAGAAAAGAAAAGGATTTAGAAAGTCTTGTGTGCAGGACACAGGTTAAGAACAAATATTAAAATGAAAATCAAAATGTCTTTACCAAGCATTTTCGTCAGGAAATTGCATCTATTAAGAGCTCTACCTAAGAAATTGGATGAAGAAACCAATTACATAGTTCTTAGTATCTTACAGTAACTGGAAAGAATGGCAAGCACGTGGAAAAACATGCGAGTCTTTGTCTTCAGAGTTCACAGTTAAATAAGTAGTCTTCTTTCTCCCCACTCCCTATAAAATTTTCAGGCAGAACCTTCAGTATTACAAAGGCAAGATCTCTAAGATGGTGCTGGACAGAGTCAATTCAAATAGAATGGCTAATCAGTCACACAGGAACTAAAGTAGAATTTCAATGAAGCTAAACAACCGACAAGTAAATATCAGGATCTAAGGTATCTCTCATTTTGCTCACAATCAGGTGAAAGTCTACTCTCTAGCCCAGTCCTGGACCTCTGCTTGGCCAAAGATGACGTAGAAGATCAAGCCCACTATGTTAATGGCAGTTGAAAGGAAGAAGACATTTCTCCAACCAAACTCCGAGTCCTGGAAGCAGGAAATTACATGTCATTAATAGTCTCCTAATTCTTGTCCTGGCTGTGCCTGTCTTATAGTCCCTACTCTCAATGCTGCTTTAATGGCCCTGGGTCACTACCTGTCTGTGCCTGAAATAAAGAGGTCTGCTGCCAATAGGTTAGCCTCCAATTTTACTGGGATATTCACCCACATGTAGTCATTTGTCTGATTTTTTCATTGATTCCTAGTTTAAGGTTCTTTTTCAGTGATTCATTCATTGGCCATGTAATTTAAATTTAAAAGCCCTGTTCTTTGTCCTCTTCTCTCCACTTTATTTCCTTTTTCATCACTCATCACTATTACCTAGGTCATATATTTAACTTATTTTACAAATGTTTGATTATTTACTTTTATATATGTCACAAGGACAGGGACATTGTCTACTACAATAATGCATGACTCATGCTCATGTTCCATATATTTGTTGACTGAGTGAATATGGAATGATGAATGAGTCAAAGGGGAAACAAGGTAAGGCTAACTTTTTTTTTAAATTTTATTTTATTTTTTTTTAATTTTAAATCACTATTTCCTTGACAGTTCTCAATGGTTAGAAGAAAATTTAAAAGACTCAAAAAAAAAAAGAAATAGAATTCAATTCATTTTTCTTATGAGTGTTTTGTTTTGTTTTGTTTTGTTTTGTTTGAGGACTACACCTGGTGGTGCTCAGGGGTCGCTCTTGGCTTTGCACTCAGGAATTAGTCCTGGTGGTGCTCAGTGGACAAAATGGGATGCAGGAGATTAAACCTGGCTCGGCCACATGTAAGGCAAATGCCCCACCTGCTGTATTATCCCTCCAGCCCCACTCTTACGAATGTTTTCATCAGAATATTTGAACTCACCTGACTGAGTAAATATCCAGAAACAGCAGGAGAAATGGCTCCAGCCATGTTACTAAAGACTTTGATACTCCCCTGAGAAAGGAACCATATCTGAGTAGAAAAAGATGGGGTGTACAAAAGGTTACAAAAGGTTAATTCCAGTACAAAAGGTTAATCCCAGCTCATCTGTTGCATTCTGTAGTTATCTCTGGGGACATCTGAACCTATGTTGACCCTTGGTCAAGCTTGAATGAAATGTAGCACTGTAGCACTGTCCTCCACTTGTTCATGGATTTGCTTGAGCGGGCACCAATAACGTCTCCATTGTGAGACTTGTTGTTACTGTATTTGGCATATCGAATACGCCACAGGGAGCATGCCAAGCTCTGCTGTGCGGGCGGGATACTCTCGTAGCTGGGCTCTCCAAGAGGGATGGAAGAATCGAACCTGGGTCGGCCACGTGCAAGTCAAAAGCCCTACCTGCTGTGATATCATTCCAGTCAGAATGAAAAGTAACTAGTGTTTTTTAGTAAAATCCTATTCTAGAGTCTAAGACTTCTAAGAGTTAATCTACACTAATTTGTCAACACTGTTAAACAAAATGTACAAATTGATGGTTTGCACTTATGCACTCTTAATTTCTATGCCAACACCTGATCATAACACTTTGTTGGGGAAGGGAATGTGGAAAACATCCTTCTTTATGTATAAAAGACATTTCAATGGATGAGTCATTGGTCCTCATTAGACAATGGCATCTTCCACATAACTTGGTGGTTTATTATCTGAAAACAAAGCAAGCTCAACAGAAGTTGGCTATGAAAAGACCCTGGGAGCTATAATTGGAAGTTGCAATCATAGCTGATACTTACTTATACCAGAGGTAATTTCTTCTCTGCTATCCTTTATTATTTACTAATATTTAATCCTTTTAAGAGCATGTTCTATGGACACTGCAGGGTTCTTTCAGTGATTTGACACTGCTGCATCCTCCAACACAGCTTGTTGGAATAGCTCCAGTGTGTTGTTAGTGTGGCCACTGACTCCTGTTATCACCTGGGCGAAATTCAGTTCTCAGTGGTTAACTAGCTTTGGGTTGCTGCCAGGAAATGCCTTGGGTGGAGATTTGTGTTCACATTCCCTGTAACCTAGTGAGCATGTCATTCCCATTTTACTCAATGTCAGAACAGGTTCAAGGCCCCTGAACCTGTGCTGAGTTTCTGTGAGGACAAAGCAAAGGGATGCCTACCGTGGAGCAATATCCATGACGTTAATTAACACTCCTAGTTCATTGAAGCTGCTGAAGATAGCGGACAGTACCAAGAAGGCCATAGTGGTGCTGTGGCTGGATCTCACCCAATAAAGAGACAAGAGGAAAGGACTTGAGAAGAGAACTCCTAAAGCAAAAGAATACACACAGAGTGATCAGGAGGCTACCCTGAGATTGCCATAGCCAATCTGGTAGCAGCATGGTTCCTTACCTACAGCTGTGAAGAGTTTCCTGATTGTGCTAAGTTTAAGAAGCTTTCTGGAGAACAGGAAATACGCCAACTGACCCTCGAGTATAAGGAAGACAAATGCAGTAACAAATGGCAGGGCTGACAGGAATCCACTCTGAAGACCAGAGATAAAGTGAGGGACAATGTCTCTCTACCACATGATAACGTAGATTCATCACTGTGAAAATTGTATATATACAATGCTTTCCTTTATATACACTTAATTCCACATAAATTCCAATATATTCCAAAGACTCAATACAACTTTAGGACCTGGGGGAAAGATGCATATAATTTGGGAAAATTTTTTAGTTTACATCATGTATATTCATTTTACATGATCTTCCTATATAAAGACTATCTGGAAGTACAAGGAATAGAAAATAGTACTCAGTCTCATTTAAAAAATGACTGTGAGATATCACTTTTCCTACACCAAATTGGCAAAAATCCTAAAATTTTTTACATGCTCCCAAGTGATGTGAGAAATCACTATCATTATCACTGTCAATTTTCCAATGGAGAAAAAATTGACAATAAATATAAAAATTTAATACTGGGATGTTATTTTTCTGTAAAATAAATAAATACCTTGCACATGTAGGATTTGGATTCAATCCTTGTTTGGAAAAACATATGTTTGTATATGTATATGCATGAACATTTATGCAGCATTTATTCTTGAATCAGATGCGAATGAACTTTTAGAAATAGTTGCACAAAAGGTAAAGGTAAAGGTAAAGGCCCTCCCGTTGATCGTCGATTTGCTCGAGCGGGCCCAGTAACGTCTCCATTGGAGACTTTGTTGTTACTGTGTCTGGCATATCGAATACTCTCGGTAGCTTGCTGGGCTCTCCGAGAGGGGTGGAGGAATCGAACTCGGGTCGGCCATGTTGGCCGCTTGTAAGGCGAACGCCCTACCCGCCGTGCTATCGCATGACAAATCATGTTTTTAGTGCAGCCTTGATCAATGACTAGAAAGAAGCCAAATGTCACTCAATAAAGAACTTATATACTTATATGAAAATATTCCAGCAGAGTAGTCTATAAAGAATACCAGCATATTACTACTGTTCCAAAGCATGTTCCATAATATTCTTCCCCTCTCTCTCTCTGAGGGAAAAAGAGGGTTGTTTTTCAGGGGAAGAAGGTATAGATTGGAAAAACAATAATGTGTTCTATTTACAATTTTTGGTATGGGATTTTCTAACCTAGGAAGCCACAATGTTCTGGCCCACCATGACATTGGATAACATCCGCTAAGTTTTGTACTTCCAGATCACTTTTGGTTTTAAGAATTTCTTAATACTCTTACAAGTTTGCCTACAATTTAGAGTCTTCATTCCCCTTATTCATTGGGTGCACAGGCTTACCTTTTTAAGACTTTGTTGGCCCAGGTTCGATTCCTCTGGCCGTCTCGGAGAGCCTGGCAAGCTACCAAGAGTATCTCGCCCGCACGGCAGAGCCTGGCAAGCTCCCCGTGACGTATTCGATATGCCAAACACAATAACAACAAGTCTCACAATGGAGACGTTACTGGGCCTGCTCAAGCGAATCGATGAACAATGGGAGGACAATGACAGTGATAGTGACAGTCTTGTCACCAACCATTTCTCTTTGGTGGCTGTGTACTTGGAGAAGAGCCGCATGATCTTTCTGGTTCCACTCAATGTCTAAGGACACCCCACTTTCCTTTGCTTGCATCCCACAAACAATTTCCCTCATCCTGTTACTGCAGCAGATCTCTCCTAAGCTGATGAGATTGTGTTGATCTCCCTGGAACCTACCTATATCGAATGGTCTGTCATTATCTGGTTTTAACTCCCCCAACCCCTCCTCTTTAAATAATTATGGGGCTAAGTTATTCCCAAAAATCACCCTACCCACTGTTTCCTCCCACTGTTTTGCAGAAAGCACCAAATAAAAATATCATTTTAAAGAGGTGCATTTTTTTTTCATTCGAATGTAAGCTCCTCAAGAGCAGAGACATACTTTTCTGTATGTTCTACTGTGCCTAGTCCACTGTAAATGCTCAATAAATATTGATGATGGGAGGAAGTTAAGTCTTGGTGAGAAGGGGGAGGAACTGAAATTCTGAAGACTGTTTTGTTGCTTGTTTGCTTATGACCTCAGATTAAATTGGGAAGTATCAGCCCTTGGGGATGATTCTCCCAAATATTGCATTCGAATAAAAGTGCAATGGAGGCTTTGGGGTTTTTGAAGGAGATCTCTTAATACTTTTTGGAAAACACTGCATCTTCACTCTTCTTGTACTGATTTCTTCTGACCCCCTGGCCAGAACAGTTATCAATTTACAGCTAAAAAGAATTACATTAAGTCTGAGGAGGTGGATCACATTCAAGTAAATTATAAATAAAATCTAAAGTTTGTAAAAAAAAAAAAAAACAAAGAATAACGGCATGATCAGTGCATAATGGCTTGAAAAAAACTAAAAAACTATATAAAAAATTTTGCGCTCAGCCAAAGAAAGATTACATCAGAAAGTAATTTGTTGAAGAGTTACCTATCAAGTCAGCTGGGAGAATAAGTCAGAATGGAGGAAAAAATGGAAGAAAGATTTTTCACTCTTTATTTTTTCTTATAATTTTAAAACTGTTTAACTGTTATAAATTTAACATCTAAATTAAAGTGCTACCATATTTAAAATACAATGAAAGGGGGACCAACTTTACTGTGTGTAACCCAAATAATAACAGTTGGGCACCTCATCCAGGCTCTTTATCTTACAGATGAGAAAACAAAGTCCATCAAAGCAAGTGACAGTGCAAATTGCAAAGAGCCTGCAAACAACATGAGTTCAAGTTTCTTGACTTTCCCAAATAGGAAAGCTCTACGGTCAAGTTGTTTTTCTAATCATTTCCCAACCTTACTCAACCTCAGCCTTAAATCATGCCAACAGCCAGCTGAAGATATCTCTCAGAACTGGTAAACATTTAGATTGACTCTCTCATCCCCTGATCCCTCTACCTGAGATTATGCATTTTATTGACTGCTTCTATCCTTCCTCCTCTTTAGGAAAGACCCCAGCTATCCCATCAACCCTCATGTGTCTCCAGCCTGCTTGCATGCATGAGTCTCCAACTCTGCCCTCTGCTAAGAAGCCCTGCTCTCAGGAGCCAGATAGAACAGGTAAGGCGCTTGCCTTGCACATGACCAATCAGGGTTTGATCCCTGGCATCACATATGATCCCTTGAGCCTCACTAGGAGTGATTCCTGAGCTCAGAGCAAGGAGAATGCCCTAAGCACCACCACGTATGGCCCAAAATAAAAATCCTACTCTCTGCAAACCAGTGAACATTCTTCCTCCTGGGGAGTTCAGTCAACTAAGCACCACTTAATGCTACTTTTTTTTGCTCAAACAATGAGAATAATAGTAATTCAATGACCTTGTGAATTGTAACAGAGTGAGATCCGATGTCTTCCCCACTTTTAAGACAACCACCTAGTATGAATTAAAAGACACCTATTAAGGAAAGCTGATACTCTGGTGGTGAGTGTGTCAGGAGAATAGCATATGCTTGAAATACTACCTTTAACAGTACTGCAAATTATGGCACCTAAATAAAAATCCAGGGAAACAGTAAAATTAAAAAGATCTCTATGGGCTGGAGCGATAGCACAGCGGGTAGGGCATCTGCCTTGTACACAGCCAACATGGCTGACCCCAGTTCGATTCCTCCGCCCCTCTTGGAGACCCCGGCAAGCTACCGAGAGTATTCGATATGCCAGACACAGTAACAACAAAGTCTCCAATGGAGACGTTACTTGGCCCGCTCGAGCAAATTGATGATCAACGGGAGGGCCTTTACTTTTACTTTACTTTATTGGCCAATTAGAGTATTTGTTCATTTTGTGAAAAATTATGCTACTGATATGTAATATATAAATGTAAGTCTATATACATGTTATACTCTAATAAAATTTTGGAAAATATTATCATGACTTTTTGTTATTCATAACCTTACATTCTAGTAATAATGTCTTAAATAGTGTTGTTTAAGGAAATAATCACAGCCTTCTCACAGGCAGAATTAATTTTTTAATGCTTTATTGCTTAAGCTGCCTGGAGGATCTTGCAAAATATTTTTTGCAAGTATTAATTGAACCAAATTGTTTTTGCTTGACAACCTTACACGAGATGGCATTTTCTGAAGGTAAAGTTGATGCAGAACTGAGCCACTTTGTACCCATAAGCAGTAGTCTCATTGTTATATAGTCTTAATGTCTTTCTGTCCTGTATTTATATTAATATGAACCAGAATTCATGTGAACTAAGTTATAGTTGCTACCTGAAGGCTCTGAACCTAAACCACTGATTTGGAGATCGCATGAGGTAAAGAGAATTATCTGTAAAAGCATTAAATAGAAGGAATATTCCTCCCTTTACCTATACATAATCCTGTATGAATGGCCCGATTGCAGTGAAAGGATACATTTTAAAGAATGTATTAAGACATTAAATAGAAGGAAGAATGAGCTTTCTTTGTACTTACAGATTTGAAGTCAGCTTGAAGCATAGAATTGATGTATGTTGGTAAGTATGCTAGAACAATATAAATTTGCCAGTGTTCACAGAAAATAGAAATGAAAATGACCCAAAGTGGTATGGATTTGACCATAGGCTTAATGGGAACTGACCACCCTGGTGGGCCATCCTGGAAGAAAAAATAAATCAATATTTCTTCTATCAGAAGACAAAACATTTGCACTACTGCACCCTTCACCTCTGAAACATCTAGATAGATGTGTGGAAATAGTAGAAGACTTCCTCAATGCACCTCTTGAGCCAGTGAAGATTCGATGTACTCCTTCTCAGCTGTGCTGATGAACGGATGATTTGTGGGTTTCTCAGAAATAAGAGAAAACCAGATAAAAGAACAGACACAGCCCACTCCACCTAGGGAAAGAGGATTCAGTTAGCACTGGACTGGAATTCTTTCGGCTTGACTTTACCTGAGGATCATTTCTGTGCCTGACAGAATAAATGGCCCAAATATTCTACTCCTCCCTTACCTATCCATACTTTTGTATGAATGTTCCTATCACAGTGAAGGGATAAATTTTAAAGAATTATTGAATTGGGCTGGAGCGATAGCACAGTAGGTAGGGCATTTGCCTTGCACGCGGCCAACACAGCCAACCTGAGTTCGATTCCTCTGCCCATCTCGGAGAGCCTGGCAAGCTACCGAGAGTATCGCGCCTGCACAGCAAAGCCTGGCAAACTACCCATGACGTATTCGATATGCCAAACACAGTAACAAGTGTCACAATGGAGACGTTACTGGGCCCGCTCAAGAAAATTGATGAACAACGGGATGACAGTGACAGTGACAGTATTGAATAAAGAGAGATAACTAAAAATATAATTCATGCAAGTAACATCTCTATATCATTATGAAATAAATTGCATTGGGGTCTTTTGTGGGCTCGAATTAGAAGCAAGAATTAATGTTGTACCATAATTTAAACTTGAGAAAGAAAATCATGTCTTTTTTTTCTTTTCTCAAAATTGCTTTAGCTAATCAGGTGATTTTATTACTCCATATAAACATTAAAAGCATTTGATCCATGTCCCTAAAAATACTTTATTTGGGAAGAACACCTATCCATTGCTGTTTTGGGCTTACTCATGGTTCTATACTCAGGGATCACTCCTCAGCATGCTCATGAGAACAAATTTGGTGCTGGGGATCAAACTCAGATTGACCATGTGAAAGGCAGGCACCTTACCCACAGTCCTATCTCTCTGGCCCCACCACAGGAATTTTTTATGGGAACCTCATTAAATGTTTACAGTGCTTGCAGTAGGATGGTTATTTTTTACTGTTAATCCTTCCAATCTATGAACAGGGATGTGTTTCTATTTCTTTGGGGTTTTTTTCTATTTCTTTTAATACTTCTTTATAGTTTTCTTCGTATAAGCCTTTCACCTTGTTTTTTAAGATGATTTCCATACCTTGATGAGGGGGGTGGTGAAGGAGAGGAGGAACAATTGGGTTTTTTTAAATTTAGTTAGCATAAAATTATAGCTATTCATAGTTGAGTTTCAGGGACACAGTATTTCAAAACCAATCTCTTTACCAGTGTCCACTTCCATCCAACAATGCCCCTTCTCTCATTAAGGAGTAAACCTCATCCACTAGTCTGCTTCTACAAGAGAAGCTTTAAACAAAATGAAGTCTTTTCTCTGTGATTTACAGTACTGTTGCTGATAGGGTTTCATATATAACATTTTATCTCCTTTCAGCACCAGCTTCTCCCAGTTGAGCACTTGGAAAGCACAATTTTTTACTAGAAATTTAAAAAATATTTTTCTGTCTCTGCTATTTTATTGTTTGCATATAGAAATACTATGGATTTCTGTGTGCTGATTTGATAACCTGCCACTTTACCATACAAGTTTATTGTATCTAGGATTTTTTTTGGCTTACTCCTCGGGGTTTCTGGGTATAAAATTGTATCAACTCTAAATCTGTAGTTAGTAATCAAAACTGTGTGGCACTGTAATAAAGTCAGAATTTCATATTAATGGAATATAAGTGAGATCTCAGAGACAGAAACTTGGGTGTATGGATGGTTAATCTTCAACAAAGGATCTAGGCATATAAAGTGGAACAAGAAAAGCACCTTCATTAGTCTTGCAAAAACTGGCTGGTCACTTTTAAAAAAAGAAAAGAAAAGAAGTTGGATTCGAATATCACATCACACACAAAAAAGAGTAAAATCAAGCATGCTGGCAGTATGTGAGGAGGAAGGAACCATCATCAATTGTTGGTAGGAATGCCATCTAGTTCAGTATCTATGGGAAATAGTACAGAGACTTTTCACAAACTTAAGAATCAAATTTCCATGTTTCCTGAAATTCATTTCTGAGCATTTATCCCCAAGGGTTCCAAAACACTATTTCAAAATGACGTTTGCATTTCTATTTCATTACAGTATTATTCATAATAGCCAAGACACGGAAACATCACAAATGCCCCAGAATGGATGAACAGATAAGAAAACTGTGGTATAGATGCACAATGTCATTTGCTCGGCTATAAGAAAAAATACGGCAGAGCCTGGCAAGATACCCATGACGTACTCAATATGCCAAAAGCAGTAACAATGACGGTCCTCATTTCCCTGACCCTGAAAGAGCCCCCAATATGCCATAGGGCTAGAGCAAATCGATGAACAAAGGAATGACAGTGATACAGTGATACAGTGATAAGAAAAAATGAAATTATGAAATTCACTGTTATGTGAATATAACTAGGGGATATCATGCTGAGGTGATGTCAATCAGAAAGAGAGGGGAAAATAAAGAATGATCTAATGATTTCTTTCCTATGTAGAACTTAACGAAACAAGGAGTAAAACATAGTAGAGAAATAATAAATGTTCTGTAATAACATAGCCTGAGAGGCAGAACTGTGTCTATCAAAGGGTGGACAAGGAGTAGGTGGGAGAGAACCTTAAGACACAGGAGGAGATATACTGGCACTTTGGCACAGGGTGTAGTGTTGGACCATGTGTGCCAAAACTTTAATATTAACTGTCACTGTCCTCCCGTTGTTCATTGATTTTGCTCGTGCGGGCCCAGTAATGTCTCCATCAAGAGACTTGTTGTTACTGTGTTTGGCATATTGAATACATCACGGGGAGCTTGCCAGGCTTTGCCGTGCGGGCGAGATACTCTCAGTAGCTTGCCGGGCTCTCTGAGAGAGGCGGAGGAATCGAACCTGGCTCGGCCGGGCCACCAGGCCGGCTGCATGTAAGGCAAATGCCCTACAGCTGTGCTATCGCTCCAGTATTATCAATTATCAATCAAGTAACCTACATAAAAAAAAATTAAAAAGAATACATTTTATGATTCTTTTAAATCCATGAAGCTATTCTAGATACAAATTTAAGCTGCTGAAACTCAAATATCATTTTGCAAGACTCACAATATTATTATCTCTGGACTTTACCAAAAAGCAAAAAAAAAAGAATTCTATATTTCATTTGATCGAAATTGGCAATTGTTTCAAAATAACTAGTTTGAGGCTGGAGTGATAGTACAGTGGGTACAGACTTTTTGTACGCGACTGACCCGGGTTTTATTCCTGGCATCCCTTTTGGTCCCCTGAGCACCACCATGAGTAATTTCTGAGTGCAGAGACAGGAGTAACCCCTGTGCTTCACCAGGTAGATAAATATCTGACCATTAGGATATGGCTAAATATAGATGGTCACACGATCATACCCAGCAGTCCTTGTCACAATACAAAATTCTGAGACTTGAAGAGCATAAACTCACCAAAAATATAGAAGACATAAGGCCATCCTACAGTCTGGCAAAGGACACCACCAGTGAGAAGAATGATGAAGCATCCCAGCAATGACCCTAGACAGAAGACGTGGGAGAACATTCCATGTGAGATAGTTAAGCTTGAGACTCTGTTACCTGTATACTAAAACTCCCTCCCAGAGCTGAGTGCTTTGTGATTATCAGCGTTGAAGTACCTAGATCAAAGCATTCACTACCTAGATTTGCAGTACCAATTAAAGGTACAAATCATACTCTTTCATTCAGTGTTTGTATTATGATAGTAATAGTACTGTAGTACTGACCTTCTGTTGTTCATCGATTTGCTCTAGCAGGCCCAGTAACATCTCCATTGTGAGACTTATTGTTACTGTGTTTGGCATATCGAATACGGCACAGGTAACTTGCCAGGCTTTGCCATGTGGGCGAGATACTCTCGGTAGCTTGCCGGGCTCTCCGAGAGGGGCAGAGGAATAGCATGAGAAATAAAAATTATGAACCCAATTACCTGAGTTTGCTATGGCGATAAGTTTATTTCTTTCCAGTGGGGGACCCCATTTGATCCAAATTGAATATTGACCTGTTGTTACACTAACCTGAAACAAAACCATATTTAGCTCTCTGTGGTCAGACTAGAACTTATATTCCATCGAGCCTTAGAAAAATCTTGGTACCTGTGCTATTCCTTGGACAATCCGAATGATAATGATCAAGGCCACCCCAGTATCAGCTGCCAGTGGGGTGAATAAAGACAGGACTGATGAAATAAATATGCCAGCTCCGACCACATACTTGGCTCCAAATATTCCAGCTATATAGCCACTGGGAATGGGAGTCAAAAATGAGCCATAGTTGATGGAGCTGAGAATGATTCCCTGGATTTCAGGACTCCAGTCATACACTGGGGCCTAGGTGACAAAAGGAATTTTGTTGTTCATCTGTAAGAGCCGACAATTTTAGCATGAAGATTTAAGCAATAACTACAAAAAAACATAATTCAACTTCTCTTAGATTTCACCTCTCCAGTTCCTACAATCCGTCAATTTCTCCAAGAAATAAATAAATATATAATAAACATTGTCTTTCCTCATATACAATTTTCTTGATTATAAAATTAACTGACCAATTTAAATAGAAGTCTATAAATAATAATTTAATAATTTTTATTAAATTTTTATTAAATAAATTTAATAATTTAAAGATATATGAAAATCTGTTAAGAAAAGCAAAACTCATAGGCAATAAAACATGTTGTGAAGAAAGAAAGAGGAAAAAACATAAATCTCTGAAACTTATTTTGGGGTGATTTTTGTAAATTTTCATTTTAGGTGAAGATATTATGTCTACTAATAGTAAAAGGTTTCCTTCATTCCTAATCCCGGTTACACTCATAAACAATGAAGTTAATATATATTCTCAAGATACATATTATGATTGTGGGTGACATCATTCTTGGAATTTAGTAGATACTCAAAAAGCACCTTCAGTTCAAATTATTTGAGTCAAAGAACGAATTCAAAGTCTTGAATGACTTACCATTGCCATATTTTTTTTCTGGGCTTCATTCCAGTTGTCCTCGGAAACATTGGGGGGTCCTGCTGTAGAGGTATTGGGGTGGCTGGGCAGGACTGTGGTGTTAACCATTGCTGGGATGGCAATGCTTAAATTCATTAGTTGGGTGTAAACAGAAAAATTACAGAGCTGCAAAATGAAGGCCAGCAAGTATCGAACTGAAAAACAGCCTGAAATAAGAAGGTACAGAATTACTTACAATTGGGTGCTTTTCTCCGACCTTACTTTTTTTGGGGGGGGGGTCACACCCAGCGACACACAGGGGTTACTCCTGGCTCATGCACTCAGGAATTACCCGTGGTGGTACTCGGGGAGACCATATGGGATGATGGAATCAAACCCGGGTCGCCTGCAAACGCCCTACCCACTGTGCTATTGCTCCAGCCCCTCTCCCACATACTTAAGGTAGAAGTAAAAGGCTGGAATTTATTGAAAGAGGAAGCCTCGGTTTACCCTTGCAGCTGCTGTGAGCTGTCCTGTTTGTTGCTGGCCCATCTTACTTTTTTTGATCTCCTGCATATTCCTGGGCTTTTCTGATAAACAGTCAATGATTGCCCATCATAATATTCTGTCGCAGAGCTTAAGCTCACAGTGAAACAAGGCCGGAAAGAATCAAACCAACCCGACTACTCTGTAGATTCTGCATTTTCTGTAATATTTTTCAATTGATAAGAAATGCAAAAGGTCTTTAAAAAGGCCTACACAAAACTTTTAACTTAGTCCTATACGACTTCTCCCTATCTGAGGATTCCTTTTCCTTCTCTTCTACTTTTTTTTTTATGTAGGAGTACTGCTATTTATTCAGCCACTGATTAGCTGATTGAATTGGGCATGAACTCCACCTTACTTTTTTTTTCATAATTTTATTTATTTTTTTCTTCCTATATTTATTTATTGAATCACTGTGGGAAGAGTTACTAAGCTTTCAGGTTTGTCTCGGTCATACAATGATCAAACACCTTTCCCTTCACCAGTACTCATTTTTCCCCACCAAGAACCCCAATATACCCCCCTCCCACCCCTCCCAATGCCTGTGAGGCAGATGATTTTCATTTAACTCTTCTCTACATTGACTACATTCATTATTTCGACAAAAGATGCACCATTGTTGTTTAGAATTCCCGCCCCCCAACAATCAGAATTACTGAAAAGGCATTGTGAAATACTTGATTTGTTTTCTATAGCTGGTTATGAGAATCATATAATGTCACGCGGCCGTGATTTTGGATTTCTGAAAAGAGCCAGATAATTATGAGATTGGTTTCTGTGTGTCTGGTGTTATGGCTGTGCCGGAGAGCTGCTTGTGGGGGGCAACTTGTGACCTCAGTAGGGCGTGAAGGACAAGCCGGTACCACCCCCCTTCCCATGAGACTGCAGTTGCTCCATCACTGGCTTTTCTATAAGCTCTGAGGCAGCAGCCATCTTGCTGTGGGGGGTGGGGGGAAGGCGGAAGGGAGCAACACCCTTTCCCTCTCAGGAAGGCATGGCGCCATAGTTTAACACATAGTCCATTCACTTTTCTGCTATAAGCTCCAGGCTCTGGACTAAATCCTTTTGCCTCTGGAGCCATGGCCGTGCTGGAGAGCCGATTGTGGGGGACAACTCATGACCTCGGTAGGGCGTGAAGGACGAGCCGGTACCGTCCCCTTTGCCATGAGACTGCAGTTGCCCCATCACCACTGGCTCATACCTGGCTTTCCTATAAGCTCTGAGGCAGTGGCCACCTTGTATGCGGTCCAGATGCATTTCTGCCAAAAGCCGCTGAGTTTTGAGATTTGTTTCTGAGTCTCTGGGATCATGGCCGTTAATCAGCTTGATCATGGCCGTTAATCAGCCAGAGAGGTCGTTTGTAGGTGGCAACTGGAGTCTTGTTGGGATGGGGAGGAAAGGGCCGGTTCCACCCCCATCTGGTGAGGCCCCATGTGTCTCGTCACTGCAGGCTCAAACCTGACTGTTCAGTGGCCTCTGGAGGATGGCAGTCACTGGGCCGCCAGGAGGAACAGGACAAGGCACGAAACCTATTCTCACTTGGAATGGCCCAGCACCAGTAACCTACTGCAGGAATAGGACACATTTCTGCCAAAAGCCTTTGGGTTCCAAGGTTCGTTTCTCAGTCTTTGGGATCATGGCCATTAAGCAGTTTGATCAGAAACCAGAGAGGCCATGCCTCCAATTATATAGCTGGGCCGGAGGTGGTTTGTGGGTGTGTCTCCCACCTACCTAACTTTTGGCCCTTTACTTTCTTGGTAAACTTTGCCCCAAGGTTTTGGGGTCTGGCCAAAGGCACAGCAGCAATTTTGGAGTATCTGAAAGTCTGATGGTGCCATCAAGCTGCTGATACACTTGCTTCACAGGTACAGATTGGCCTGCTGGTGGCACCATACCCCTGTCTTCTACTTTCTAATAAACTTTTCTACTTTCCAAATCTGAATCTTTCCAACTCTGAGCAGCTTTATTACTCAATCTTTTTGTTCTTGAAAATAAAAATATAGGTCACTGTCACTGTCCTCCTGTTGTTCATCGATTTGCTCAAGCAGGCCCAGTAAAGTCTCTATTGGAGACTTTGTTGTTACTGTGTTTGGCATATCGAATACATCACGGGTAGCTAGTCAGGCTCTGCCGTGTGGGCAAGATACGCTCGGTAGCTTGCCAGGCTCTCAGAGAGGGGCAGAGGAATCGAACTCGGGTCGGCCATGTTGGCTACATGCAAGGCAAACACCCTACTGCTGTGCTATCGCTCCAGCCCAAAAAATATAGGTAAATAAATAAATAAAACCATAACAATTTTTTTAAAAAGGAAAAGAAAAAAATATTGAAGAACCTGGGAACTATAAATGAATGAACAGACTCACAGGTCCAGCATCATTTGTATCCCTATGAAGCAGAAACAGAGATAAAACAGATAATGCTCAGTAGGTGTCTGGGCTGGAATGATAGCACAGCGGTAGGGCGTTTGCCTTGCACACAGCCGACAGGTCAACCCGGGTTCGATTCCTCCACCCCTCTTGGAGAGACCAGCAAGCTACCAAGAGTATCTCACCCACACGGCAAAGCCTGGCAAGCTACCCGTGACGTATTCAATATGCCAAACACAGTAACAACAAACTCTCACAATGGAGACATTACTGGGACCACTCAAGCAAATCGATGAACAACAAGAGGACAGTGCTACAGTACTACAGTGTCTGTCAGACATTTGTCCTTTTAGGAAGTAAGTGCATTTAAAAACTACCTTAGAAGCATCACTCGATTCTTGAAGAATGTGTGGCGTTGGCTTGTGTGAGCATTAGGTGCAAGTTTCAAATACAGAGTCCCTGGAAGAACTGATGTAGACAAGAAAAAAAAAGTAGATTTAGATAATTGTCTGGAAGCCTTCATTGGGTGCGAATGGTAATAGAGTTGTTGGAAATGACCCCCAAGTGCCCCACATGGGCAGCCAAGATGGCTTGAGGTTTTATTTCTAACCAGGGAACATAGCATAACTAGGAACTAGAAGATGAACCTGGAAGTTAAAGTTCATTATATGATAAAAGTAGCTCAACTTCATCAGGAAACTATATTCCAGGCTTGCACAAAAGTTTACAGCATTCTATGGGAATTCTGTGATTATTACCTGAGGTTAAATTCAAACAGATCTATTAGCCTGACCAGTAGTTTACAACTGTGAAGAATTGACTGAGCATCACTGCCTTCAGGGCAAGTTGGGTGTCTGATTACCTGGGAGTAAATGCAGTAGATCTAACACCCCTTCCAGTCCCTGGAGTTGACACATAAACTCCAATTTGGTTTAACTAGGGGATCATATAGTTGAGAATTTCCCCTGTCCCACCCATCAAAATTTACATTGGAATTTGGATGAATATCATAATAATATATGCTCTGAAGAGAAACCAGAGTGGTGAATTCGATATGCCAAAAACAGTAACAAGTCTCACAATGGAGATGTTACTGGTACCCACTCAAGCAAATGGATGACGAACGGGAGGACAGTGCTACAGTATTATAATAATGATATGTCAAAAGAAAAGTTTGCCTCATTTACAGTATTGCCTACTTTCAGTCAAGAACAAGGATGCTTCCCCTTGTATTCAAGCCTTTCTCTGTTGCAAAGTAGAGTTTTAATCTTTCCTTCAATTAAATCCCATTCAACATATTTTTGAAGTTCGTTTTACTGTTTTCATTATTTAGCCTTTTTCTCATTCTTTCTCATCTTTCCACTAATTTGGACTTGGGGGGGGCGGGAATGTTACAAATAATGAGAAATAATAGCAGTTTATTTTTGCCTTTTGTGGTACTCGTTTTTTTTAATTTCCTGTAATTTTGTTCATTAGATTTTCACAGTGTTAAACAGGGATAGTGAATGGGAGAATTCCTGTTGTACCTGAATTTTTTGAGTTTTCTGAGCTTCGCATATTACATATAAGATATGCTACTGGTTGTTGGTGGAATTTATATTGTATTCACTACCGAATTACTTTATGTATTTATTTATTTACACTAGCACGTGACAGGGACAAATGGAGACGTTACTGGCGCCCGCTCGAGCAAATCGACGACTAACGGGAAGTTAAGTGATTAAGTGATAAGTGATTTATTTATTTGCCTTAGGGACAAGGTGGTGCTTAGGGCTTACTCCTGACTCTCTGCCCAGGGATTGCTCCTGGTGGGGCTTGGGGGACCATATAGGCAGCAGGGGATTGAACCTGGGTCAGCCCACGCCAGGTAAGAGTTTTACTCATTGTACAATCTTTTTTTTTCCTTTTTGCGTCACACCTGCCGATGCTCAGGGGTTACTCCTGGCTTTGCGCTCAGAAATTACTCCTGGCCTTGCTCAGGGGACCATACGGGATGCTGGGAATAGAACCCGGGTCAGCAGCATGCAAGACTAATGTTCTACCCTCTGTGCTATCGCTCCAGTCCCCATTGTACAATCTTTTACTCCATCTCATTATTTTTATGAGAATACATAGGTTTCAAGTGCATTTTAATCCAAGCACCACACATTTGAATCCCACCTGCTGTATTTTCTGCTGTGCCTTATTGGGAATATTCCTGAATTCTTTGGCTCAGTATTTCGCCTATAAATTTGTGCTAATAATAGGGGGTATGGTGCCGCCAGCAGGTCAATCTGTACCTGTGAGGTGAGTGCATCAGCAGCCTCATGGCACCT